TCAGGATGCATTTTCTCATTCTTGAATTCAAAGTTGATGCTGATTTACTCAATTTGAACTGTTTTTAGTACCCTCTCAGACACTGTGCTTGAAAAAACAGTCTTTGGTAATCAAATACCTGTTTGAACTGAAGTATGATTTATGGCTGGTGGACGGCGGTGTATCGGCTAGCATAAAGCTCGAGTAGCATAGAATTATTAGCAATTTGCTACTCCTCCCGATTGACATACAAGTAACATTCAGTACTGTTTCAGTAATTCAATTCAACAGTATAAAAATGGTAACGTAACAGTAGTGTACACGAGCCACGTTAGCTCTGATTAGAAATAAAGAATGCAGAAAAAATTGCAGTGATGTTCCAGAACTGATTTAAAACTAATTCAAAACTGCTCAGAAACATCATTTTGACTGTTTTTGCTCTACATCACATCGTTTCTTCGACTTCAATTTGATTTCTGAAAATATTTGAATAGAAAAAGTTGAATTCAGAGACATGAAACCAGAAGGGTTTAGTTTACAAAATGAAAACACTTAAACAAAGCCGAAAGTTTTTCGATAGTTCAACAATTTCTCTAGTGAATTCGATCTCGAATCTCAGGGACCCGGCAAGGTTGGCAAGGTCGGCCAATGTCGGGAAAAAACTAGAAGCTCAAGCTTTTTAACTGTTCGAACTAACGCACTTCAGTTACTTTCTACATTTTTTAAGCAGTTTTCTAGCTAGCTGCGGAAACTTTAATTGGTGCCAGGCAATTCTAGTAGCCAAAGTCTTTTAACCGCCAACACTATTCCATCTATGATATTTTTAAAGAAAAAATACTGCTTGTTATTTTTTTTTTGGTTTCAGCCATTTTAATGTTTTGAAAAACACGACATTTAACAAAGCATTCATTTCAGTTTGTTTTTGAGAAATCAATTTTGCCGTACTGTTGCAGATCTAATACAAAGAAACAGCATAAATAAGTACATTGTATTAAGTTTTCAAATGAATTTTCAGTCAAATATCAAACTCAAAAGGCAGTGCAAACATCGAACTCAGAGGGCAAAGCGAAAGGCAATCAAAAAACAGCTTGCTTTGTTTCGTTCCGCTGCGCATACATTTGGAAAAACAGGAATAGCGCGAGTAATCAGGCCGCTAATCGATAATTTTTCATTAAAAATGGTTCAAAATTGGCCAGTCTATTTTTGGAACATAGCCAACATTAAATTAGATATGGTACTAGGCTTGTTTTGCTATATTTCATTTTTTTTCTCAAAATGTAGGTTTCAATTTCAATAAAAAAATGTTTTTAGCTCGATGTTTTTTTTGCATCAGATAATAATTGTTCCGACTTTCGATACGAAAGTAACGGAATATTTGTGCTCGGGGTGGTTTTTTTTTTCTTCAGATAAATTTCGACTTTTTAACTAGCCATTTTTGATGGAATTTTTTTATATCATTCGAAAGGTATTGTTGTCCTGAACTTAAATTTGAAAAGATATTTCACCTGTGAATATTTTTCGTAAAGTTATGGGGGTTTAAAGATTGGTATTTTGGCCAATTTGGGACAATTAACGCGCGATATATTTCGCGCTATTAACGCGTAAGCGGAGAGTTAATCCGTCTTAGAAATCGTTCCAAATTGGTTGAAAGAAGCTTATTTGCCATAATTAATTTGTTACAAGGAGCGAAATCTATCCTTTTGTACTTTATATGGCGTGTGGGGTGATGATTTTCATCAAAAAAAATTCAAATTTCAAAAAAAAAAAATTTCATTTTGTTTTTTCACATTTAACATTTTTTAATGTTATTACTGCCCCATAAACCTTAAAAGGTAGTCGGAATTTTCAGGGCTTCGGCCCTGATACGAGCAGTCTTGTTGTTTTTAAGCATTGGCTTAAAACAAAACTTTTGTAACATTTCCAGTAAATTACTGGAGTCAAGTTTATAAAGTTATTTAACCTGTGATCACTTTTTTTTTAAAGCTGTGAGTTTCCTAGAATAGCTAAATTTGCTTTCTTAAGAAGCTAATTTATAGCTCCAAATTAACTTGAGGCAAGTTTTTTGGATGTATTAATACTTTCTCAGATGTTTGTCAATAAATTTGCATTTTACATAGTTTGTGTTGAGTAATTGTCAACAATTGTCTGAAAACAAAATCATTTTCTTTTCATTTGTATTTGAAAATTTATCAAAAAGCAATTTTGTGGGAACCAATTTCACATAATTTCAAGTCTTTGTGTTTCTTGATTGCTTCTGATTCAAGCAGTCGTTTTAGTGTTATTTTTTGCTCTCAAAAATTTGCTGGCTAAAGTTTTGTAAAGCCTGTAAATTCTTTTTGAAAACTGTTTTTAAGCTTTTACTTGTTGCCACTTTCGAAAAAAAATGAACTTGATTTGGTTTTTCAGACCAATTTTTTCATTGAAATTATAGCTTTTTCTGACAAAAAACTATTGTTCTCTGAAGAGAATATTGACTTTCTGACTTCTTGCGCTCAAATCTATAAAAAATCTAAAAATAAATTTTATTTGTGTTTCTTATAAGTCTTTACAAAAGCCAGTTTTTATTTTAAAAAAAATGTGAAGGGGAATCCTTAAGTTGTTCTTTTGGTATTCTTCTTGACTAAGTAATGCGCTTTGTAAATTTAATCTAAGATGCTGATAGCGCAGTGTGAATTATTTTGGCATTCTACTTGACTAAGTAGGGGCGCGCTTTGTAAATTTTGCTCTAAAATGCTGAAAGCATAATGTGAATTATTTATGAGTATCGAGATCTACCACAATCAAAACAGTTCGAAAGTAAACTGAAGCAAGCGAATTGGGCTTTTAAATTTCCTTTACGACTCAAAAACTGGCATTTAATCAGTTTATATTGACTGTTGGGGCCACAAAAAGTTCAGATTTTGTAATTTATCAACACCTTCTGTACCGATATTATCTGAGACTTTTTACAGGGCTTTGTTGTATTATTCAAGGCTGTGCCGTAATCTAAAAGCAGTTATGCTCAATTTTGGAAGTTTTCTTGGGAAAAAATCGCGATACCAATTTCTATGCTCTATGAAATCTAATGAGTCAAAACACACTTTGAGCAGTTTTCTGACGTATGAGTTTTGATACGGTTAACCTCCCTTTTTCTGCTGTTATTTTTTGTTGTCCTAAAATTTCACAGACTTCATAGAATTCCTGCAAAACGTCACATTCATTTTTTATCTTCCTGTTTTACGCGGAATAAATTGAGTTATGAATACACTTCAAAAATGTCTTTCTTAAATAACATAAGCAATTGCAAATGAAAAATTGCATCAGTGACGAACACAACATTGCTTCTCGTATCAAGGCAAAACCTTGAATGTTACGACTGCCTTTTCAGCTCTTTTGAAAAGTGTTTGCTTAAAATATCTGATAAAATTTTAAAGAAAAACAAGACTGCTCGTATCAGGGCGAAGCCCTGAATGTTCCGACTGCCTTTTAAGGTTTAAGGAGCAGCAGTAAAAACATAAAAAATTAAATGAAATAAATATAAGGAAATTTTTTTTTTCTAAAATTTGAAATTTTTTAAATGAAAATCATTCCCCCACACGCCATATAAAGTACAAAAAGATAGATTTCGTTCCTTGTAAGAAATCAATTATGGCAAATAAGCTTCGTTCAACCAATTTGGAACGATTTTAAGACGGATTAACTCTCCGCTTACGCGTTAATAGCGCGAAATTTATCGCGCGTTAATTGTCCCAAATCGGCCAAAATGGCAATCTTTAAACCCCAATAACTTTACAAAAAATTATCACAGGTAAAATATCTTTTCAAATTTAAGCTCAGGACAACAATACCTTTTGAATGATATAAAAAAATTCCGTCAAAAATGGCTAGTTAAAAAGTCGAAATTTGTCTGAAGAAAAAAAAAATCCACCCCGAGCACAAATATTCCGTTACTTTTGTATCGAAAGTCGGAACAAAAATTCAAAACCTTGTCCAGACTTGTTTCTTCGAAAACCATCCCACACGTTATATTAAGCAGCAAGTCAAGTATTTTGCATTAGAAAAATAGTAAATAGACAAAAGAGCTATTTGGAACGAGTCTAAGAGGGATTAATGCTCCGCTTACGCGTTAACACTGAGAAATATATCGCACGTAAATTATCTTAAATCGGCCAAGTCGGCAACCTTTAAACTGCATAACTCAAGAAAAAATGATCACAAGTAAAAAAAAATTTTAAATTTGAGCTGAAAACAACAATAGTAATCGGATAATAAAAAATATTTTGTCAAAAGTTGCTACTTAAAAAGTCGAAGATTGTCAGGAGAAAAAAAAAACAACTCCTAGAACAAATATTCCGTCACTTTCTTCAAAGGTCGGAACAAAAAGACGGTTTTGCTTGCTCAATTCATGTGAAAAGCCTTCGTATCTTCTTTAGTGACACAACTTTGTCTCCAAAGCAAAAGTAAACAGGACTGCTCGTATCAGGGCGAAGCCCTGAATGTTCCGACTGCCCATTAAGGTTTATGGAGCACTAATATCATTATAAAATTAAAAGTAATAAAACAAAATGAAAAATTTTTTTTTTCAAAAATTTGAAATTTTTTTTATAAAAATCATCCCCCCACACGCCATATTAAGTACAAAAGGATAGATTTCGCTACTTGTAACAAATCAATTATGGCAAATAAGCTTCGTTAAACTAATTTGGAACGATTTCTAAGACGGATTAACTCTCCGCTTACGCGTTAATAGCGCGAAATATATCGCGCGTTAATTGTCCCAAATTGGCGCCAAAATACCAATCTTTAAACCCCCATAACTTTACGAAAAATAATCACAGGTGAAATATCTTTTCAAATTTAAGTTCAGGACAACAATACCTTTCGAATGATTTTTAAAAATTCCGTCAAAAATGGCTAGTTAAAAAGTCGAAATTTGTCTGAAGAAAAAAAAACCCACCCCGAGCACAAATATTCCTTTAATTTCGTATCGAAAGTCGGAACAAAAAATGCAATAACTTATATTGTGGTTCTTGATGTTTTAGGAAGCTTCGTAGTGTTCCGAATATGTTGATGGTGTCGATGATTGTGAGTGACATTCTGCTGCTGTTGAATATGCCAGTGAAGATGGTCGTCCTCTCCTCCTACGGCTGGGTCTTTCCCGCCAGCTTCTGCCGACCATACCACTGGAGCATGGTAAAGATATACCAGCCACTTCTGAAACGAGTCTTCAATCTCGAATATTAATAGAATAGATAGCTATTAATAAATATTGGTATTACTAATGAGTGATCAAATTATTACCAATGCGAGGACAAATTTTTTCAATCCCTATAAAAATTAACTTTATCCCCCCTCGGTCGGGTACCTAGCAACGAATACCCCCTATAAAGAAAGAAATCAACGCTTAAGCATATGAGATTTTTTTACCTAGTAATGAATCTCTCCCTCCCCTTTTGCAAAAGGGGGATATACTTAAAGACTGCCGACCCAAAGATACTTTTTAAGAAATCCTTTTTCGGCCGACCGACCCTAAAATTTTTCTAAAGGCGCCTTTGACGCTAATATACACTTACTGTGAGGGGGAGCGCGCGCCAAAAGACCTCATTTTTTTGTCAAAATTTCCCCAAAGGTGCGCAACAACGGCTTTTTTTAACTGTTTTTTCAAAAATTTTCAATAGTTTTTTGAAAACCCCCCTCGAGAAAATCCTAGATCCGCCCCTGCCGATGACACTGCCAAGTGAAGGTCTAGCAACCGTGAAAATGGTTGAAAAATTTGATATACTATTGTCTATACACTATTGACTATTGAATATACAGTTGTCGTTGTCTTTATGTAGCGCTAAAACGACAAGCAAAAAATTGAAAAATGAAATTTCCAGCGTCAAAAAACGGGCTGTTTGACGAATCCTTTTGAATATCCAACATTCATTTCTTTTTGATCCCCTTAGCTCATCTTTTAAAACTGTTTCATTCATCACATGTCAAAGTTTCATGTCGTATCACATTTCGGCTTGACCCGGTGAGTCGGACCGAGTTGATGGCAAATAAAACCCGTGAAACGCATTTTATTTGGTAAGGCTATATACTTTTTATTTCATAGCTATTTCATCCGTCAAATATTACAGTTGCATGCCTGCTTCTTGAATAAGTGCAGAGAAAACCACAAAAACATGAACAAATTCTTCGTTCAATTGCTCCTTCAAATTTAAAAATTTCAGCTTCTATATGCGATAAAGGTCGAAATAAGGTAACGAAGAAGTTTTTCTTCCGACTTTCGATACAAAAGTAACGGAATATTTGTGCTCGGGGTGGGTTTTTTTTTCTTCAGACAAATTTCGACGTTTTAACTAGCCATTTTTGACGGAATTTTTTAATAACATTCAAAAGTTATTGTTGTCCTGAGCTTAAATTTGAAAAGATATCTCACCTGTGATCATTGTTCGTAAAGTTATGGGGGTTTAAAGATTGCCATTTTGGCCAATTTGGGACAATTAACGCGCGCGATATAGTTCACGCTATTAACGCGTAAGCGAGATTTAATCCGTCTCAAAAATTGTTCCAAATTGGTTGAAAGAAGCTTATTTGCCATTATTTTTTTTAAAATGAGCGAAATTTATTCTTTTGTAGTTTATATGGCGTGTGGGAGATGATTTTATAATAAAAATTCAGATTTTACAAGAAAAAAATTCATTTTATTTTATTACATTTAATTTTTTTAAAATCTTTTTACTACTCCATAAACCTTAAAAGGCAGTTGGGACATTCAGGAATTCGCCCTGATACGAGCAGTCTTGTTACAATTGCTTTGCAAACCTTTACTGATCAATTTTACTCAAAGTGTTTGACCCGGTTTTGTCAGGAGAATTCAAAGTGTTTTCATACATTCATCTAATTGTTCTCCAGCAAACGCTTTTTTCATTCGATTGTTGTGATTTCGCGTAAGCAAAAGCTCCTTAAGTTGAACAAAGCGTAACTAGAAAAAGAAATTCAGTTTCGAAAACTGTTTTCACAATGACGTTTGTTGAAAATAAATTAATCAATATATCATTATTTTTTTTGACAGCATATTTTTCAAAACAGTTTAGGCAAGATTATCAAAGTTTTGCGAGGGTAATTTCGAGGCTTTTTGAAGCCTTTAAGGTGTAACTCGATGCTATAAACCACACGCAAGACAAATTTTGTTGGCGATGATGAACTTAATGAGGGTCCTAAAGTATTGATTTTACGGTGGTAAATTTTACGGTCAGTAAATCGACGTATCAGTAACCCGAAAACGGGCGGACCAGATCAGTAAACCGAAAATTCATGATTCAGTTACGTTCTCCCATTAGCTAAAAACTGAGACTTTTACAAAATTACAAATTTTCTGCTCAAAACAAAAAGTGAATAAAAAATGGAAGAAAATAACTTTTCCTATGCGCCCCGTAGTTTTAAAATTTTTGTTTTACCTCATGAAACCTTTACTCTATAATTCTTTAATTCCGCAATTGATGTTATTATTACGTAAATTTGTGTACTGATCTGGTAATTTACTGACACATCGGTTAACTGTATGCACCGAAATTTTACGACGATGACTTGTAAATTAATTTTCCATGCAGCTTCGACAAGTAAGAAACGCTGCTCTGCTTCGCTTCGCTCCTATTTTTAGCACGAAAATAATAGTTTGCAGCTCATATGTTTTGTCATCTGAAAATCACGTCAGTTGTGAGCCCCGACAACTCAATGGCCGGCTACAAATATTAAATAACTTTTGTAGGTCGTTTCTTTTTTTTTCAGAACAACCTTGACTTTTGTTCACGCTCAAGTTTTTTGCGGATTGAATTTAATGCTCGTTTCAAATTCATTTTTTTATTGAAACACAAAAAAAGTTTTGAAATAAAGTTTTTATAACTTATTTTGGGTGAGGGTGGGGAGGAGGGTGGAATGGAAAAGAGCTAACATCTTTGAAGTCAGGGGCGGATTTAGGGGGGGGGGGGGGTCGGCCGACGCCTTCCTCTCAGGGATTCGACCCCTGCCGGCCCAAGGCCCCCCTTTGGTACTTTTTAAGAAATCTATTTTTGGCCGACCGACCCTAAAATTTTTCTGAAGGTGCCTTCGGCGCTAAAATATACTAATTTTGAGGGGGGAGCGCGCGCCAAAAAAACGCGATTTTTTGGTAAACATTTTCCAAAAAGTGCCTAAAAACGCTTTTTTTCGGCTATTTTTTCAAAATTTTGCCTGCGGCGCAAAAAATTTGGCCAAAACAGGGACTAAAGCGTGCTAAGAGAGAGCTCAAAAAATCAATTCGGTCGACCTAAAAAAAAGCTCGACAAAATTTTCGAAAAAAATTTTGAAAATCCGCCCCCCTCTCGAGAAAATCCTAGATCCGCCCCTGTTTGAAGTAATAAATATTGTAATCGTTTTTAATAGGCAATTTTTTTATTTTTTTTCAACATTCTGGTGGCTGCCGTTTTCGGTTGATATGTCTCTCAAAGTTGACTATTTGTTTTTCACTTTTTTAATGTATATCTATGTCCTAATCAGAGTCACAGATGTTGATATCTTCTGAGAGCTATAGCAACTAAGCCAATCTGAGCTTATTGATGCCCTGAGTTCAAAGCGGGAAAACTTGTCTGATGGTGTAAAAAGTTATCCAGAGGAACCTTCAGCGCCCACATTCTTCAATTTAAATGTCAAACGGTTTCCCAAATGAGCTCAAAGCCCTGAATTTTTAAATCACCAGCTGGTACCATTTCAAAGGTCACATTTTAGTTATAACACCATTGACAAATGCTGTTCAAATTTTGAAAAATATTCGTATAAATGCTAACTTTTATGACAAAATTTTTCTAATATTGAAAAAGTTTTAATTATTTCAACAGGCGTATAATAGATACTTATTAATGGTTGCTATAACTCAATTAAAATTAGTTTTTAAGCGGAATTTCTCCCTGTTTGCTTATTTTCATCGAGATTATATTTATTATATATACTTGACTGCTATAAAGTAAAAGGCTTTAAATCATCTACTGAAACTGTTGCTCTGATGACCAATTTTTTGCGGAAAATGGCAAATTTCAGCAGACAAAATTTTTTTTTTTCAGACAGCCGTACCGTTTAATTTCAATAAAATTGATCACGCAGACATGTTGAATGTGTTTCTATTGATTTGCGCTATTTTTCAAGACCATTTTTGGTTAAAAGAGACAAAAACACGACGGAAACTTGGTTATTGTTCCGACTTTCGATACGAAAGTAACGGAATATTTGTGCTCGGGGTGGGTTTTTTTGTTTCTTCAGACAAATTTCGACTTTTTAACTAGCCATTTTTGACGGAATTTTTTTATATCATTCGAAAGGTATTGTTGTCCTGAGCTCAAATTTGAAAAGATATTTCACCTGTGATCATTTTTCGTTAAGTTGCGGGGGTTTAAAGAATGCCATTTTGGCCAATTTGGGACAATTAACTCGCGATATATTTCGAGCTGTTAACGCGTAAGCGGAGAGTTAATCCGTCTTAAAATCGTTCCAAATTGGTTGAAAGAAGCTTATTTGCCATAATTGATTTGTTACAAGGAGCGAAATCTATCCTTTTTTACTTTATATGGCGTGTGGGGGGATGATTTTCATAAAAAATTTCAAATTTTAGAAAAAAAAATTTTCATGTTATTTTTATTACATTTAATTTTTTGATGTTATTACTGCTCCATAAAACCTTAAAAGGCAGTCGGAACATTCAGGGCTTCGCCCTGATACGAGCAGTCTTGTTTGATTTTATTTTCGTTTTCATTTAATTATTGGTACTGAAATTTGCAGACTTTTGATAGCTGTCGCAAATTACCGTATATCAATTGATTTGTCATCAAATCAATCTAATTTTATTGACCAAAATCGTACTGATTTGCAGAGGTCATCAGCTAACAAAGTTTCCAAGAATGCCGATTGAGTTTGGACAGACAGAGTTTTGCATCTTGAATTTCTAAATGAAAGTATTGATCATTTAAGAAGTTCAGTCAATTACTCTGATTTTGAACAGAACATCTCAATTGAAAACAAAAAATTTATTGAAAAGTTATTTTTGACGCATAGGTTTTTTTGCTCAAGAGCTAAAAAAAAGTTATGACATGAAAGCAAATAAAGGTGAACTAGATTATGTAGAATTGGGTAATTTATTTGCATTTATGAAACTAGCTACGACAAAAAGCAAAGCA